CAGATTTTTATTGAATTTTGGCCATGACCATGAAATTTACGCAAATTTTTTTGAACTTTTATCCCGTCCCATGGAAATTCCTTGACAGTTTTTTATTTAGCCAGTGGAAATTCCGTATTGATTCTTTGATTAGTAGCTATCCCTTGGAGAATTCCTTGCTGATTTTTATCCTATTCTTTGGAATTTCTTTTCCATTGTTGACCCTCCCATGGAAATTCCATACATTTTACTAAAGGAATACCGAATGGTTTTCCGTGCAGGATTGGGTGATCCATGCACGCGGGATGTTGCGAGACTTTCGGAAAGCGTGAAAATACACGAGCCGTAGGCGAGTGTATTTTTATGCTTTCCGAAAGTCGAGTAACATCCCAAGTGCATGGATCATGCTATCCTGCAACACGGGAAAACCATTTGGTAATTGTTTTATAAAATTACTACAGTGAAACGAGGGTTAACTTGATTAAAATTACTGATGAAATGTGCAGTTCTCACAACAATCGTGAATTAACCAATCGGAGAATCGCTACTCCACACTATTGAAAATTTGAAAGCAACAACAAATGTGAACAGAATTTGATCGCAAATTCGCGAAAATATACGGCGAAAATACAGAGTCTTTTTCTACAAAATATACGAAATTTGAAATGGAAAACCAGCTAAACAGAAAGCCAAAGTGGTTATGAAGATTCTCCACCTGAATACTTGAAGATTGCGAAGCGTTTGAACTTTGAAGCGAGAGATGTTGTACACTTGTACTTGCCATGGTCTGATGAATTTCAACGCTACGCCTTGCTACTTGCTGAACAGCAATGAATCGATCAGAAATTTATTCATACAACTAAACCAACGTCTCAATAATTGCAAACTTACTTCAAAGTCGAAAGGTATTGTACAATAAAACTTTACAATGCGAGTATATTTGTAAAATTATGTGCAAGAATTTCTGTTCAGAATTTCCCGTGCAGGATTGTCTGATCCTGCACGGCTGTTGACCAATCAAATTGCGTGTTTCACTGTAGTTATTATATAAATGCTATTCCACAACTGGCTTCTGTAGCTCAGTTAATTTGTAGCTCAGTTAATTAGTGAGAGCGCTGCACCGGAATCGCAGGGTCGCACGTTTGATTCATTTCAGAGGGCCTTAAGTAGAATTTTTTTTACGCTGATTCCGAGCTGTGTGATATTTTTGTTTCAGAACCAGGCATAAGGCATATCAAAAAGTAGGTCGCCGAAGAGCCTTTGCCGAGGAAGGGTCCTGTTTACCGTACATGGCAGTACCCATACATGGACTTGTGGTTAAAGCTCGACAGCTGGCCTGTGTATAGCTCGGTTGGTTAGAGATCTGCAACGGAAACGCAGGACCGCAGGTTCTATTCCTGCCAGGGATCTGTAGTTGCATTTTTCGCAGCTGTTCCAGGGTAGATCGAATAATTGCATATAAATTTCCCCTAGATGATTTCAATCTACAAGAACCTTCGACTATTATTGAATCGAGTGAGAAGCCAACAAAATTTTAATATTTACCCATAACCTAAACATGGCAGTACCCCATATATACACGAACTTGTGGTAATAGCCCAACAACTGGCCTCTGTGCCTCAGTTGGTTAGAGCGCTGCACCGCAGAATCGCAGGTTCGATTCCTGTTAGGGACCTGTAGTTGCATTTATCTAAGCTGTTCCTGGTTAAGTCTAATAAATGTATATAAATTTCCACTCGATAATTTCCATCTGCAAGACCGTTTAGCTGATGTGTACTACTTACTTTGCAAAAACAAAATCTGATAAATTTCTCAGCAGTCTTGCCATGTTGGTAATAAAAACCACTGGGTGGAATTGTACTGATACCCTGCAAAAACACTCAACTATCAATAGAATAGGAATAATTTATTCGTTTCCCTCTTCCCCTTCATCCACCCCCCTTCTCCCGGCACATTGAAAGGGGGAGTCTTTTATAAATTTGCGATAATAGTACGAAAGTTGGTCAAATATTTGTTAGCCTGTGTACAGCCGTTACTCTCGACGAAGCGCGCGAGGGAACGCCTGTGAGTTGGATGCATGATCCTTGTTCAGGTCACGTTGATAGTTCCCAGATTTGGGGACCGGCCTCTGATTGGACAGTGCTTTATTTGAATAATTCATGACAAATTAAGCTATTTCATTGGTTAATTGATAATTAGCATGCGTTTAAAATAACAACACAAAAATTTTAAAATTCCAGATCAAGAATCAAGATTTCCTTCGTAAAAGGGCATACAAAGATACATATTTTTACATATTTTTACCTTAAATAAAATGCTAAATAAAGTTTTTGGGTATCTCTTTTTTCTCATTTTAACTTTCTGGTTATCACTAAGATCAAAACCATCAGAATTTGAATTCAACGACAGAACATTTCCCCAGAATATCTGTAGCATTTCGTCAGAACTACTGTCAATATCAAATCGATTGTGTTGTCTTTGGTCTTCCACGCGCGATAATACTTTACGTAAGTCTACTTTCCCTCTCATGTCTAATCACAGATATGG